ACATTCCAGTCCCTGCCGATGTCTCCTGCACCACATGCGTGTTTCTCACTGGGGGAGCCAGTGCCCAAGCAACCTCTATCTCCAACACTAGCACCCAGCTTTGTACCTGCTACCTCTCCCTGCATTAGGAAGAACCTATCAGATTGAAGAAGGAAGATCCACTCTTTCTGCTGTGTGGTTTGGGTTTTTCACAGCAGACATTTTTTTCATAATTAAAGATTTGAAATGGGGAGTACTAAACTCAATATGTGAAGCCAAAGTCACATGCAGTCAGTAATGCCCTGGAAAGTTCTTCTAAATGTTCTCAAAGTTCGAGATAACTGGTTAGGGCTGTGCCATTCCCTTTCCCAAAAAGAATACTACACAGCACAGGCAACTCTTTTTCCTGCAGCTCAGTACATATCTCTCTTTCTTCTTCTTCTTCTTCTTTTTTTTCTGAGACAGTCTCACTATGTCGCCCTCGGTAAAGTGCCGTGGTGCCACAGCTCACAGCAACCTCAAACTCTTGGGCTTAAGGGATTCTCTTGCCTCAGCCTCCCAAGTAGCTGGGACTTCAGGCGCCCACCACAATGCCTAGCTATTTTTCGGTTGCAGTTGTCATTGTTTAGCAGGCCAGAGCCAGGTTCGAACCTGCCAGCCCCAGTATATGTGGCCAGTGCCCTAACCACTGAGCTACAGGCACCGAGCCCATATCTCTCTTTCTTGAGCTGCATAGCAACAGATAAACCAGTTGGATTATGTAGGGAACATGTTTTATTAAAAATATGTTACTGGCTTTTAAGTTTTTTATTGTTTCTCTTTTTCACCAAGTATGTATAATCATGTTCACATAGGTGAGGTGCACACACTATGTACTTATATTTTAAAAATGGCTCAGCACCTGTAGCTCAGCAGCTAGGGGGCCAGCTACATACACTGGAGCTGGCAGGTTCGAACCTGGCCAGGGCCTGCCAAACAACAACAACTACAACAACAACAACAACAACAACAACAAATAGCCAGACATTATGGCAGGTGCCTATAGTCCCAGCTACTTGGGAGGTGAGGCAAGAGAATTGCTTAAGTCCAAGAGTTTGAGGCTGCTGTGAGCTGTGATGCCACAGCACTCTACTGAGGGCAACATAGTAAGACTGTGTCTCAAAAAAAGAATAATAATAAAATAAAATAATAAAAATGACTAGAGGGGAGAGAATGCTGGTGGGCCTCAATGTAGGTTCTCTATACCACCCCCTGATTTTCCACATCAAGCTGGGGGATAGCCTGAGACCCTTTGTTCCTGTATCAACAAAGAGGGGCCCTGGCGAGAGCCTGGATATGTCACAACAGGGCGGGCAGCTCAGGAAAAATTAACTAACTCCTTTATGGTGAGCTGTACTGGGTTCTTTCCCCCAAAGGGCAAAGAACTCTGCACTGGCCCCGGCCTTGGCCACTTTCTGGGATAAAAATGAAGCCACCAAGGACAGGCTTACATAAATGACAAGAAGTTTCCAGTCCTATGAAAAGCAAGGGGGGAAAGTATTCCAGGGAGGGGAACAGCGAGTCACTAAGCCCTTGGAGTCCTGGATGGAAACTGAGAAGGCCAGGGGGCTAGAGAGTGATGAGAGGGGAAACTGACCCAGGAGGGGTGGAGGGGCAATGACAGACCAGGAGAGCCCAGAGTTTACTCCAGGGCAGCTTTAAGGAGGGACTAAGCTAGGAAAGAATTTGATCTACTTACATTTTTAAAGGTGCTTGCGATAAAGTTATCACTACTTACTAATTTTACTAATTTGATACACAAAAAACTGAATCTTGTTTTGACCTGCATTTTTCTTATTGAAGTAAGATGTCTTGTCCTATGTTTCAGTGTCATATTAGTTTCGTCGGGTGTGTGTGAATTGTCCGTAGCCTCTGTCCATTTGATCTTTTGCTTTACACATCTAGACAGATGAGCAGGTGTTGATAAGAGTGGCTATTCTTCCCCAGTTTATCTATGTCTTTTAAATGTTTATGGCAATTTCTTTTCCCTGCAGATTCTATTTTACTATCATTGAATGTATCAGTTTTTAAAGTAAATGAGAAATACTAACTGGAGAGATATTTTGAGGAGGATGGTGAGTAAGTTGAATTTGTCATTTGCCAAAGGTGGCTTTATTACCATTTTTAAAGGAAGTTTTAAAAATGGAATCAGAGGGTAGGTGTCTCGGAGGAATGTGCCCTTGGGTAAAGCATGTTTATATCATGCCCTTAACGCATTTCATGCCTTCCAGATTTAGGCTTACCAAACTGCAGGGTGCTGTGGGGTGGAGGGATGCAGACGGTGGGTGGGAGGATAGGGACTCAGATTCCTAGAAAGGACAGAACTCCCATCTTGACCCCCAACCCACCCCCAAGACGGAGGGTGATGCGCAGAAGAGGAAACAGCCGGGAGGGGTTAGAGAACTTGCCCAAGGTCACATCATGGTATGTGGTGCGGGCAGAATTCGAATCCGAGCCTAACTCCAGAGCTGAGACCTCTTCACCTCCTCGCGACGGCGGC